CTTTCTGCCCCCCCCCCCTCACCTCCTTTGCCCCCTCCTCTGGGCTCCTGACTCTTTCTGCAGCCTTTCTACTGCTACTCCTTGGCTCCTCCTTACTGCTGTCTTTCTGCCACACCCCTGATCTTCTGGTTGGAAAGATCTACACCTAGCCTTCTCGGACAAGGGCGAAAAATCTCGGAGGGCCCGTGTGCAAGTTGCGCACGTTAAAGATCCCTTGGTGGTCTAAAATCGATAAGAGTAGGCTTCGGCCGCCACCCGGGCAAAATTCAAAATTTCCTACAAACTGAAAATATTAGGAGTGTCCCGCGCCCTCATATGACCTTTATGCAGTTGCGAGCGCCGCAAAACACTTTACAAAAACAAACAAACAAAAAAGCTGTGACGCGCGAAAGGAACATTGGGTGCCTAGATCTATGATTTTGGTCGGCTATTTTAACATTCGCCGTGATTGTCATCATTTCGCGACGTACCGGAAGTCCCAAATTTGGCCCACTTTTGTTTTGAACGGATCATCAACAGTGCCTGGATATGATTGTTTTCTCGAGTGACTTCCCCCTACCCGCTTCCCCAGAACAGCCAGAACAACGGCGGAAAGAGAAAAACGAAAGTAGTCATTGTCGTCAGCGTTCGGTGATGCACAAGAATCTACCGCTGAATGTGACATACAAGACTGTTTTGCATGTTTTTATGCTACCCTGTTGAATATTTGAGTGAAATTGCGGTGTTTACATTGGATTCCTGGAACAAGAGTGTGATGTGTGAACAAACTTCGAAAGATGGATCATTTCTGTGGTTATAGATTTAGCTTATTTTGTGCTTAGTGAGGACACTTGGAGTGTCGTCGTGCAACCATACAAGACTGACTGACGTACAAGAAATTAAATTGTCCTAAGAGCAAGCCTTTTTTAAGTCATGTGCTTTTCTTTACTCAAACAAATAAACAAACATGTCCTTGTTTATCTGTCTAACTCAAAAGTACACATTTGTTCCTTGTTGGCATGAATGCCTTTTTCCAATTCATTGTGTCATCATTGTTATGTACAAGTAATGTTTATCATCATTGCTAATATAAGTTTTCAATATATATTTCGTACATGCATGATCCATTTAGAAGAAAAATAAGCCCAATTATTGATCTGTGTATCTCAAAGTGCACATATTTGTTCTTTGCAGGCATGATTTTACCTTTTTCCAGTATGTTTTGTCATCTTTGTTATGTACAAGTACTGTTTGTCATAATTAATAACATTTGTGATTGTCCACTGTCTTTAATACGACTTGATATCTGTTTCAAAGCGAAAGAAACCTCTCCTGGGATTTTTTTAAACACTTAAAGTACACATTTCTCTCTGGAGGCATAACTTTGTCTTTTCCAGTACATTGTGTCATCATTGTTATACAATCATGTTTGTCATCACTGTCATCCCCTCTGATTTTGTGCTTTTGCCTCATATTATTATTTTTTTTTATTAGTTTGAAATTGTTTTGCACATCTGTTTTTCTGGTTCTGAGGCTTTGATAACTGTATTTGTACAACCTTTCACTATTGTGATGTGTTGTCAATGATAATATCCAAGTCCAAAGTGTGTATCCTTTCTTGTACATAACAATGATGACATGTTCTGTGCTCTGCGTCATTGTTACAATGCTTGTCATTTATATTACCATTATAAATGGAGTTCATAGTGTATAAAGTCTTTGTTTACTAAACAAATGGAATTTAAAGTCTATAATTTGCCTAGCTGCTTATCTGTTTTGTCATTTCTGTTACGTACAAGAAATACAGTTATTGCCAAACCAATAGACCCATATCTCCAAAACCCTACATCTCCTTGCTCTGATACTCCAGGAATATGAGCACTAAATGTCAATCTGTGACTGACAGAAAAGGGAGTCAAATTGGTAAGAAATTTTTTTTTGCATCACTGAGTCTCAAGAGAGTCTCACGTTTTGGCAATTGCTCAGCGTGTCCATACTACTTACAGTGTGCCATTAGTACTAATATTCCACTGACTCAACTGGCTGAAAGTGTGTCTACAGGACTAATGTCCCACTAACTGACAGTGTGTCTATATCAGACCTGCCAGGTTTTCAAAATGGGAAACTTGGATGAAAGGTAAGAAAATCCTGTATTTGAGGCCAACAACCTGGATTCCCATGTATTTGTATTACCTGTATTACCTGTCCTGGGAAACAACGTCATTGCACACCGGACAGGTCCGTAAGTGCTCAGTTCCCCCCTGCACCAAAGCCCGAAAGGTATCCATACTGATTGTTCTGGTGGCTGTCTGATTATGGCGACGTCTTTCCTTTCCAGATAATTGCTCCTTTCTTCCTTCTCCCCTCTCTATCCCCATTTCCCGCATCCTAATGATTGCGTGGTGTTCTGCTGTCTCCTGGTCTTCTTCATCCCGCAACTTTTTCTCCAGGGTTTCAACACTTCTCCTTTGTCAAATTTCACCTCACCATCAACCACGGCACTGCCTGCCAGCCTATCAGCCTCCTCGTTGCCCTTCTCTCCAAAGTGTCCTGGACAGAATATCCATGTGATGGCTCTAAGTGATGAGTGTTGTATTGGGTTCATCCATTCACTCCGAAGCAGCTCTTTCTCAACTTTTCGCAGGATGCTCTGGGAGTCTGCGACAAAAATAAGATGGGTAGTTCTTGGTCTTGTATTTTGAAGCCGGCCAAGCGCTCTTGTTACGGCCTCAATCTCCATTTTAATGCTTGAAGTTGTTCTTTCTATGGCCACTGACATTCTATGAACCTTTTTGTTCCCACTGTACAACACCCCTTGTTATAAGTAATGGCCATAAAAGTAATAGCAGCAACAGCAGTATATTAGTATTAGTAGTCAAAGCAGCAGTAGTAGTAGTAGTTGTAGTAGTAGTAGTAGTAGTAGTAGTAGTAGCAGCAGCAGTAGTAGCAGCAGTAGTAGCAGCAGCAGCAGTAGTAGTAGCAGCAGCAATAAAAGCAAGAGCAGTAAAAATTTACAACCAAGGGATTTGAAATAAAATTGCCCTAGAATGGCACCCAATGAGGTCCATTGCTGTAAATTTGTAGTAAAAATTATAAAAAAATCTGATGCATTGTTATGATAATAATACTTAATCAGAGAGGGATAGATGGACAGGGTGGGGGATGGAGAGAGAGAGAGTGTGTGTGTGTGTGAGGAGAGAGGGAGAGAGAGAGAGAGAGAGAGAGAGCGACATTAGGCCTTGTCAACTGTTTCAGATGATTTCTTCCTGAAGGCAAGAATTCATCTTTAAATTTCGCAAAAGCTTTGTCAAATTCGACGTAAGATTTGAATGCCTGCTCTAGAAAACCTTCCATCTTGTCAGGCGGAGACTAGATAACTAGGACCACCCTGGGGAGCGAAGGGGAAATGGAAGATCTAGATGATGTTTAATCATCAGCGCAAAAGAGGTCTGTGTTCACTCTGTCGCAATTAACGCCACGTTAGTTGTCACAGCGTCGCTCTGTTGCAATTAATGCTACCTATTCATATATTCTAATGAATGAACTACCGGTAAAAGAGACCTGTTCTGCAATTGCCAAAATGTAATTTGACGCTGAAATCTTTGTTAAGGAATGTGACCGAGCCGGCTCTCCAGCATAATATAGTGGTCCTGACTGGAAGTCGTGAGCGACCTGCTGGAGATAAGGAGTTTGACACTTAGCCATCACATTTTGGGGAAAATAAATTTAAAAACTGGGAGGTAAACATAGGCGATCGGCGAGATGAGGGGGCAAAGTGTTAAGACCTTCTAAATTTTGCAACAAAAAATTCCAGTAACTCTTTTATTTATGGATTTTTTAAATGAAAAAGAAAAACCTGCTGTTCTGAAAAGTTACTCCTCTTTCATTTTTAAGCTTATTTTAAAGCAATTTGGATGAAATTTTAATGTTTCATTTTCTTTGTTACATTATGGTGCGAACAGTGGGGACGGGGAAATCCTGTTTCATGGAACAGCATTAGTCCTCTCGTACACTTAGAAAATCGCAGTTGAACCTTACAAGTCGGGGTGCAGAGGTTGGATTGTCGAAGGATTTGAAGAAAGATAAAATAAGAGAAAGCTTTCTTCTTGGACTTGGAGGGTGGCGAATTGACCTGTGTTTCCTTGTTCTACCCCCCCCCCCCCCCCCCAATGCAGCATTTGTCTATGGCCGAATTTTAATTCAAGATAAATGAGAGACCTATTAGTCTATTACGCTTGCTTAATAATAAAAATCATATATTATTAGAATCTAATTATAGTTTTAGTAGACAGTGTGATCTATTGTACTGTAAGACATAATACAGTATGATAGAGGTGAGAAATATCCTGAGAATAGGAAAGAGAAACAGATGGGTAGAGTTCACAACAAAATTTGAGCAAATTTTTCAGTTTCATCTAGGGGATGATGCTGCTCTCCATACTATCACCATGACTGTTATAGTGGTTTATTTTCTGACCATTCTACAGTCACAGCTACTTCCCTTGATTTTTATTAAATTTCAATCTCTCTTATTTTTCATTTTATTGGTTTACCCGAATCATGAATATGAAGAGTACACAATTTGCCAATCTTTAATGTGTTTTGAGTTTATCCATTCTGGACTGTCAAGGGGTTAGTTGATTTTCAATTTCAAGAAGCTTGCAGTAGTTCAGTAGTAGTTTGTGTATGACAGGATGGCTATGAGTATGCCCACCCTGACAGAACAACAATATCACCAAATAATAATATTGGATATGTTTGATTAAAAAACTTTTTTGCACTGTTCCAAAAACCCTGATCACTTTTGATAAAACTATTTCTTTGAACATTTGAAATGGTTTCTATAGACCTCTGAAAATGTTTATGATCCCTATCCTATTAAGTTAAACACTTAGTAGACCATGGTTTCAAAAGAAATTTTTGTGCGATGGAATTACTCTGATGAATGACATTGATCATGAATTGCATTTCACTTGTTTTTAAATTTTGAAAAATGCAATTTTCTGAAAAACTCTTCCTTTCAATAGGTGCGTTTCTCACGTTGCTGTCTCCATCTACATTTTCTGTGAGACATTATGGCCGTCGGGTGAGGACCAAACCTCCGAAGATTTCTCATTTTGGATACTCAGGTATAAAATGTTTTTTTATTACTATTAAATTTTGTTCTGGAATTTGAAATTGTTTTCTTATATAAAATGAATTATGTAGTGTCATATTCTTTGATTACTTTAACTAATGAATCGTGTGTTGGTTCTGGTCGTACTCTTCTCTGATGTTTGGTGGCAGATTCAACGTCTATAAATATTTGGGTTCAGTAACAAGTAAAAATGGAATTTAATCTGTTCACTCGTTCTGTGTGAATAGACACTACTAAAAAGTTATGAACTGCTACTGTAGGCCTTTAGGAGCTTTAATTTTGGTTGAATGTTGCTTTCACAATTAACAAGAATCAGTTCCGACCCTTTTAGAAATGAATGAATCTAAGCCGTGACCTATAATACACTACTTACAAGATAGGACCTAGTGGGTCTTCATGTTCAAATTATCAAGTAGAACTTCAAGGTATTCAAGCCACCTTGGAGTACTTAAACTACACCACCTTCTGAAAATACCCAATATTTGCAAAGAATGTGGTCTTTTTCTATGACCCCATGTTACGGTAGCCTTACAAGCAATGGAAAACTGTGAGACAAACGGTGAGAAAGTCCTCCATATTGTCTTAACAGCTGACCAACTTCTCTCTTCCTTTGCTGTGAGGCTTGTTCTTCAGTGGATCCCAGGACACACAGACATTCATGGCAATGCAAAGCAGACAGAGTAGCCAAGAAAAGGATTGCGTCTAGCACAAGTTCAGCTCTATTTTCATTCTTGCATGCACACTTTACAATAGTCCACCAAAAACATTGATCTTTTGGTCTTCACTCGGTAGATTATAGAGTCATGTTGATAATCTCTGATCAAGAGGCAATTATCTCCTTTTAGTACTTTAGGATAAACAGGATTTTCAGTAGCATTTTCGAGGACCCTCTTGTTCTGAATCATTAATTCTACATATTTCATGCCTCCTTTTGACACAATTGAGATCACAAAGGAGGCAGGCTGCTTTGACCTTGCCTGTCAGAGCCATCCAAGGCAGAGTGAGATACAACATACTAAGTGACAGACGGAGATGCTCCATAAAATAACTGCCCCATAGGTAATTCGAGATCATGTCTTCGGCTTGATAATATGGCAATGAGTGTAACAATTACACCACAGATGCCGGTACAGTTCTAAGTGAGGCAGGGCATATTACTGTCAATTTGAAGTGAAGATTTATTGATGGGACTGAATAATAGAATTTGTTCAAGAAGTAATTCTCCCAACATTTTTTTCTGACCTTGCTTGCAGGTGACCTTCGCACTTTACCAGAATTAGCTGACGAGACCAGGTTGTATCAGTATAAAGACTTGGAAAGTGAAGTGGAACAGTGAGTTTTCTCTTCTGTCTCTAACTCTTTAAAGGAAATTAAGTGCATATCTAGCTTGGTAATTAATTGTTGAGCCCTTTCTTCTTTAGAGTATGCCTCCTGATGTGTGGCTCCGCCTCGCGCGCGGTCCTTGTCGCTCCAATATCAATCAAGTAAGACTATAAAGAACCCGTCTCCTTACATGCGCCGTGACATCTAGCCGCGCACGACAGTCGTCTGTAATGGAGACCTCGTCATGCCCGACACACTGGGGGTGTGACAGGTTTAAAGCATCACCATTGTTAAAAATATCTAGCCCAGGAGGGCCGGTCGACACGCTGTGTGTGTGATGTGGTTGCTCATAAGGATACTCACCTTTCGACTCATCCCTAGTGACTGCCAAGCATGACACTGCGTCGTGCAGAAGGAGATGTTGACTGAGTCGCTGTCTGACATGTGTTTCACATGATTTATTTTTTGGGATAATCTATGCAGTGGTTTTTTCTTCTACACTAACAAGAAAGCTAGTAATACGTTTATACAGTTTTTGACTTTTGAACGTGTCAGTATAATTGAAAGTATTGAGAGAGTCTATGTTTTTGTTTGAACGCATGATCTTTTTTTAATGTTATTTCAAACATAACTGACAAAACCTGTTGTCCTTGCATATTTCTTGTTTTGTGATTAAAAGCGATTGAATACCTTTTGTCAGTTTGTCTTCTTACAAGTGCATATCAATATCTTTTACAAAACATTAGTGACAAAAAATTCATTTTCATTTCTTTTAGAGATGAGGTTCTTAAAAGGCTGACCAGCTTTGAGTTTGCATCAGGGGTAAGTTTGATTTTCTTGTTTTAGAATTCTTTTTGGTTAGCTCATCTCAGAGCTAGAAAAGTCCTCATTTTTCTGTAGTTTTTTTTATTTTTTAGGTTTCTTGTTATCAGTTTCATGTGAAAGGAAATTGTCCTTTCTGTGTAAATGCTATGAGTGTCCTTTTTACTATAGGTGCATCCCTTCTCCAAGCTGCCTTGCTTTCTTTTCTTTTTACTTTTCTGTTGTTGTTTTTCTGTTCATTGTTTATTTTTTATCTGTTTGAGTAGCTATTTTGGTGTTTTTATTCATATGCTTCTATACCATGCAGTCACTTTTTTCGACGCTGCTTTTCAATTCTATTTCATTATTCATTGTGTACTTTAACATGTTTTAACAAGTGAAGGTTGATGTATTATTTTGCTTTTATTTATGTTTTAAAAATCAATTACCCTAAAACTAATAAATGTAGTTTGAATGTTATAAAAAATTTGGTAGGTACTTATAATTCGCAAAAAGTATATTTTTGAGTTAAAATGTATTAAATTTAATTTGATACAGGGTAATATGGTGTTTTTGTTCTTTTTGATTGATTGTTCTTAATGTTCATTGTCCCGATTTGCTGTCGTGCTAGTAGTAAAAGTGTTGAGAGTTTAAAATGTTATAATGTCTCTGATCCTTATCTGTGTCTTTTGATAAATAGCTCCAGTTTTAGTACAAAGACAGTTATAGCTGAGTCAGAAATGAGAGAAAGTGCCATCTCATCTCACAGATGTTTGAGGATGCTGTTTTGATGTTTTACTTACTTCTTTCCCCGAGCAGTCGGTCATTTTTGTTTGTCATCTCTTCTTTTCCTTGTCATGAAAGAATTTTTCTCTCTCTATTGTTGGGTTTATTTGGTAGTAAAAAATGAAAAACTACTTGTGTTGGTTCTCGTTGTCTCGAAATTAGTGGGTGGTTGAAGGGTGCTGTTGGTTGGTCGTTCTTCTTTTTCTTTCTTTTTTTTTTATTGTTGTTTCTACCTACCTGTCTTACTTTTTTCCCCTGCACTAACTGACTTGTTTTGTCAGTGTGCCCCTTTTTACTCAAACAAATCAAATTGTTGCTCAAAATCAAACAAATTGTTTGTTTCAGCCGGACAAAATTGCCCACAAACAGGAACTTATTCTGGATCGGATCATTGAGCTGTTTGGGTCTGACAGTGAGCTGGAGCAGACAAGTAAATCTTTTGTAGTCTCATCATTTGACTTTTGCATTGACATTTCCTTTGAGCTTGATGTCTGCTGGGATATCTGATCTAACTTACACTTCCTTTGTTTTTTTACAATTTATTGTATTGTACTGAATATTAAAAAAAGAAATTCATTTAAAGTTGCATGAACCTTTTAGTTTGAATTTATCACTCTCATTTAAATATTTTCTCGAATTTTCTTTTTTCTAGTTACCCCCCCCCACGTATATCTCTATATAAATTACTTAATACCCAGCTATTAAGTTTTACAAATAATAACTTGCTTCAAAACTTGTTTTCCTCAGTTGCCTTAAAGACGCTATCAATCAGGCAAATGATTCCAATGTGTATAAAACACAGAACGGTAAGTACGATTAAGTTCAGGTAGTTGTAATACTTTCCTGTTTGTTGGTTAATTGTCCTGCTGAATACGTTTCATGTAGATCTGATTGGTTTTGATCCTTTTTTAATGATCAAATTTTTAAAAATCTTTAATGTTCAATCAAATCCAAATGTCCTGGGCTTTTTTTAAAATATGGAATCTTGGAGCAGAGGTTGGTAGAGAATCACATGTAAAAGCAAATGTTTTTCCTAATATCTGTAAATTGTCAGAGGTAAGATTGAAACTTCTCCTAACTTTTATAGGATTATGTCCTTTGTTTCTTTCCTGCCTTTTCATGTGGGCTGTTGTAAAGAGCTGTTGATGTGACCTGTTTCTTTTCCGTTTGTTTGAACTACTTCTTTCTTTTCTTTCTTTCAACTGTCTTCTTTTTACATCATCTTGGTTTTACTCAGCCCTTAGTGAATATATTTCGTTGATTTGTTTGTCTTTTTAGTCAAAGCAACTTACTTTCTTTCACTTTCACAGAACAAAGTCGCAAAGATTATCCTGCTCAAGAATATTTTCGGTCGCCGCAAGATGCTGACAGAGCTGAGGCAAATGGACCATGAGCGTTTTGAGTGGCTTCTGAGAGAGCTGAAGATTCGCTACGTGATCCCACGGGACCGAGAGGAGTACAAGGGCTGGAAACACAACCTGCGGGTCTCCACTCAGCAGAGGGCACTTACCAAACAGAGGAGGAAGCTGGAGAAGCTGAAGGTTTGTGGCTTCTTTTTTGTGAGTACAGTATCTGGTAGTTATGTATGAAAAGATAGAGGAAAAGAAGAGCAGAGGAAGGCAATGAAGGACATAAATAGATGGCCTGAACAATTTTGCAACAAATAACACAAGGAGAAAAATGAAGCTGATGAAGAACACAAACAAATGGAAGGAGTGAGGTACCATGATCATTGATGTCTGCTCCAGACCTAACACCTGAAGAAGAAGAAGAAGAAGAAGAAGAAGAAGAAGAAGAAGAAGAAGAAGAAGAAGAAGAAGAAAAAGAGAAGAAGAAAAGAAGGAGAAGAAAAAGAGCAGAAAAAAAGAAGAAGGAGAAGGAGGAGAAGAAAAAGAAGAAGTTATGATAATGATGCTATGGAGATTGAAGGAAGAACTGGAGGTCTCACTTCTGATACATTGGTGGTTTGAGTACCGTGACTCCTAGGCCTGTCAGTTGTGATAGGGATTTAATGTTATTTCTTTTAAGAAGTGGGACTTACGAATGTAGCGTCTTTTAAAAAAAATTTTTTTTTATAGTAGAGGGTGTTACGGCGCTCGCAACTGCATAAGGTCATATGAGTGCCATATAATGTCTTTTTCTGGTAAGATGGAGCCAAGTGGAAGGAGAGTATTGAAGTAACTATCCTAAGTTCAAGCATGCCCCCTTTAGAGATTTGAAGCAGTGTCATCTGTATTGTGCCCAATTCAGCTTGATTGAAACTCACTGACAGCGGATACCGACACTGCATCGGTGAGCCTAGACGTACGTGAAATGCCAAACCCAGACCCCTGCTGGTTTTGATTTCTTCTCCGTTTTTACGCTATTAACGACTTGCACTACTTGCAGTCGGTCTTAGCAGTTGGGGAAAGGGAAGGAATGGTGATATGATGATGCTCGTCTGTTTGATTTGATGGTTGTTTCCCTTGATCTATTGGGGTTGCTTTTGTGGGTTTTTGTTGGTGAGATGAGTTAAAAGAGTATCTTTTAGATCTAGCAAATTGTTTCACGATTTTGGGTTGAACATACACACTATCCAGCCTTTAATTGAAAGACTTAGTGTACTTAGATTCCAATTATTCTGTTAAAAGGAAAAAAACCCCATGCCTTTGAGGTTGCTTCATGCGCTTTGTCAACCAGTGGCTCAAGTTATTCCAAGTTTATTATCTTGCATTTCAAATTATTATGCAAACACAAGTACAACATATATTGAATATCTGTTTTCATTTCAACAAATCACAACATAAAAACAACATATAGTAAAAATTATGAGCATGTACTTTGAACTGTTATCCAACAATGAATTTTAAAAATACTTTTGAAATGCTGGCAGCCAGGTTAAATTGGGATTTCATCCCGTGACAGTAAGCCCATTAGACACATTTTAACTTTTTTCTTTTTCTAAGGCTTTTAGCATTCCTACTTACCTGCATATCATGTGGTGTTATGGTATGGTTCTTCGCAGTTGATCACAGAGGTCATGAGTTCAATTCTTGCAAGGGGAATTTATTTCATCGAGAACCTCCACCTCTGTGTATCTCCTTGTATGTTTTATACCTCTCAGTGTGGGTTAGCCCTCACATACGAGGTTTGAAGAAGCTTAAGAGTACTTTTGAAAATACTTTATATCACGGATAGTTCCTACTCGTCGGGACCGGCCTCGGTAGTTCGAGGGATCCGTAGTTTGAGTTATGCGGGAACAGTGTTATGGCTGTGTCAGAGAATCAAGGGAAGCAAGAACAATGATGAGCAACGCTTTTGAGTTCGATCGGTAATGAGCCTACCTGTACCAAGACAGTTTTAATTACGCAGGTCAGTTTGAGCAGTCTTTAGTCTACACCAATCGAATTTCAAATTTTTCAAAACAAACAATTTGATAGCATAAGCACATCCCAATGGTAATCAACAATGGGATGACTAAACAATGCCGCCCTACCCTACCTCTCCCACCAAGCGTGCAGTCCTTTGTGAAGAGTGGTGTGGCGGCCGATCGTGTGCTGTACAACCCTTTCTCTCGCCTGTTCCACACAGGCCTAGCTAGGCTTAGGACCTTGGCACATGCAGAGGGCATGTGTGTCGAGCACTGGCCTAAAAAAAGCGCAGCTAGCTGCTTCTGTGGAGGAAGGGGGGGTGAGGAGCAATCACAAAGAACAAAGAATGTGAGGGTCAATCGTTAACGGTCTTTTATGATCACGCCTTTTCCATGTGTCGAGAAAGGAAGCGCTCGCTTGCTAGCTTTCTCCGAGACTGTTGTAGGTTTGGCTACCAGCAGTTTCCAGGCTTGTTTTATTTGTGTTTCTGCTCTTTGTGCTTTTTCGAGAACGTTTGTTTCTCTCTTATAACACCTCTAATATTCGGCATTTGAATGACCTTATTGTGTTGTAAGTGCCGTAAAACATTTACTAAAACCAAATCAAGAACGTTTTGGTATTGATGAAAATCTTCACTGTCCGCTTTGGTCCGATGTTGTCACATAACCCTTCATTATCTTGCTATCTGTGCCTCTTTATGTGTGAAATCACATGTAATTATTGTAGTATACACTCACACAAATACTACGTGCGCGCGAACGTGCGTACACACGAACGCACACAGACACATTCACATTTTTACACAGATGTACTCACAGAAGCAAACGAACAGACAAATACACGCAAAAAAAAACACATAAATACACACACAAACACACACATAGGCACACACATAACCCAGCAAACACGCACAAACACACACAAACAAACTAAGACACACGAAAGAACACGACGTCAAATATTAGCAGCCAACAAGACGACATTATTAGTCCAGACATTGTCGGGGTAACCCCCTGCTGTTTGACAGAAGACCACGAACCCTTTTGTAATCAACAAACCACACGGGGCATGTGGGTCCCTCAGTGCAGGAGGGAAAGAAAAAGAAAAAGAAAAAGGAAAGACAAAGAAAAGGAGGAATAAAAGAAAATGAAAACCATGAATAAGACGTGTTTTCCGTTATGGATTATGGAGCCTCTGCTTGTATCAATGTGCAGTGTGTATCTTGAAGGAGTATATTATATTTATGCTTCTTTCCGCGCCCTCGGTAATATTTTCCCGGATATTCATTATCCAAACACAACGAAAATGCGCTCATGCACACAAGCGCACTAAGATCCAAATATTGATGTATACCGTCTCATACACTTTGGAACCTTCACACATACACGTATAGACACATTTAAATACACACATACACACTCACACATACAAAATCACTTCCTCTCACACACTCTCTCTCTCTCTCCCCATCCCCTCTCTCTCTTTCTCTCTCTCTCTCTCTCTCTCTCT